ATTTTTGAAGCTTTTTTTTTTAAATTGATAAATGATCTTAAAATAAGCTGTAGTTATTCAATAAAAATTACTATAATTCTTAAATTAATGATTATGAAAAGATAGTATTAATGGTAAATATAAAATAATATTTTTCCTGTTCTTCCTTGAAATTTTTATTTATAGCGATACAGCTTGTTTTAAGAACATGCTCATTAAGGGGATTAGACTATCTGAGTTATAGTAGACAAAAATTATATTTACTTTCCAACAAGACCTAAGAATTTCTCTCGTAATTAGTCCTCTAACGAGGTAGAAATGCTAGTTCCTGTTATATTTAGCGGTAAATGGAGGAAGGGAAGTTGTCATATGGGGAATGTATGGGGCGCCAGGTGTTGCGACGCGATCTGTTTGTGCAACACCTGCCTTGCGGGAGGTATATCCATGGAATTCACATAAATTAGACGTTTCTTGAAATAATTTCCGCTAACCAGCAAACAAACTTGAGTATCTCCAAAACTTCCAAAAATTTCAACTTCCCTCACAAAAAGAAAATTAAAATTAAATCACGTTTTTTTTAATAATTACTGTCTCAGTCTAAAGATTTTTTAATAATCATTACATATTACACTTATCTTTCTACAATTCTTTGTGATTATTCTATTTAAAAAAAAAAAAAAAGAAAGAAAGAAAGAAAAGAAAAAAGAAAGAAAAAAAACATACACATCCCATAAATTTGCCCAAAGATTCGAAAATATATCCTCAACATACAACAATATACACAGAACAAGATAAATTCGGTTATTTTAAGGAACCCCGCGGAACAATCCCCCATAAGACTGCTCGAGGAAAACAGTTTAAAGTAGACCGAAAACATCGACAAGGACGGGGGAATCGCGTTCAATTTATCGAACGCATATATAACAAGCCCTCCAGCCTAAAAGCAACAATCGGTGAAAAGAGAGCTGGGCGAGGAAACAGGGAGCCAAAAATAATGTTCCCTCGAATTTATTATTCGATTCCACCGCCACTCTTCTTCT